ACCAACTCGAATGGCATTTTGAGAGGGTGACATTTGTGAGTATACGTAGTTATGGGATAGAGTAGTAGGTGCTCCGTTCGGGGGAAGGTGCGTCATTAGAGAGTAAAGGCCGTGGCTAGGACGTGATCGAGTTGTCAACGGTTTTCGACCAAGTCGTTAAGACGGTGACTGAGTTCTACCCCTGTCCACACCGTCCTTCGTCTACTTCCTGTTCACTGACCGTGCACCTCCCCTTTATCCTTTTATAACCTGCTAGCCTAACGAACCGGCAACTGGACGACAAGCGCGAAAATCCCTTTGTAAGGATACATACAAGCGCACGCACACACATATATCCTCACATAAAAATAAACCGACACGACTCATTGGACAGTTCGTTCATTATGTAGAAAAAAGCGGGTTTTTTCTTCTATACTTCTCTTTTCTTCTTTTTATTTCTATTCTTGTTCAAACTACCGTTGAATTTGTATTCAGAAATTGTATCATTATTATATGCCAAATGAAAATAATGGGTATTTCATTATTTATCAATTGAGTTACAATTAAATGAATATAATTTTCTTAAAATATATATAATATATTATGTTCGTAACGTGCATAATGCATGAATATCTAGTTTATAGAAACCACATTCAATTTTGATTAAAAATTATTTTTTTTTCTGCTCAACTTCACCGTCGCCAGTGCAAATTGTATCGACTAATATTTAATGCGAGTATTTCTATTACGCATACGATAGAAAAGTATTTTTTATCCATATGTGAAACACATGTTTCCACGGCCTTATCCGAGTAGAGTTTGTCCGTCCAAGCCTTCTGTCAGTTTAATGTTAACCCAGATAGTGCGTATGCAAATACTTAAAGAAAGTAACCAGGCGTGTTTTTCTTAAGTACCTTACGCTCGGAGGTCCATAGAGACGTGATATGCATTATACGGGATTAATACAAACGAATATGGAACGTGACGTTCCCGGATTGAATAAATGCAACTTAAAAAACAACCGACCATAAAGTTACCGACCAAATGCCGAGGTCCCAAAAAGCCTAAGTTCAGCCAGCTTGCAAAGTATATGCTATGATGTATTCTTATCCCTTGTCCAGCAGAATGTTTAAATCTGAAATAAATTGGAAAACTTTTCAGCCATTATGTATAAAGTATGACAAAAGAATGCAGAAAACTTTTTTAATTCATTCAGATTCATCAACGTGAAATTGGAGACGAAAAATTAGATATGACAAAATATAATATAATGTAATCTCATAGTCCAATATTTTTTCCAAGTAAAAAAATAATTGCGCTGCGCAATAATAATCGTGTATATGAATATAGTATAGTTTCTATAAGATACAACACCAATTATTATTAACATACGGACAAAATATGTAAAATCAAAAATTATCAAGTTAAAGAATTATACAACATATTACAAGACCGTATGATCGATAACGTTTTAATTTTCTAAGTATTTGCGCAATGGTTATTAACAGGCTGGAACCATTGACTGTGTTGAAAAAGATTTATCGGAAAATCTAACATTGAAAATTAGAAATTTCATATCTTCGTGACCAGAGCAGAGGTTTATATGAAAAACTTTTTTAACAACCGGTATGGGTTTTATAGTGTTTTTGTAAATTGTAATTTACCAGACCCCGCTAACGACAAGTATATTGTAGGGGTTGGGAACACGTAAAAAGTTTCTTGCGCGAAAAACTTTGTTGAGATCGTAAAAAGTTATACCGAAAAAGAACTCGTTTCAAGAATTTCAGCGATTGATGGTGTTCTATTACTATATTGATCAAAGGAACGTCGCGTTCGTTATACACGCGTTCACCCTCGTTTCGCTTCTTATTATAATTGTTGTTTTTTTTTCCTCACCCTCAGTGCGTTAAATAAAAATAAAAACCGTATTTTATTAGTAAGCTCGTACGTATAATATTGGGTTTTTTCCCTCAGTCTATTTAAATCGGATTGTTTAAGCCACCCCACATCTATACGCGTTATCGTAGAAAACCCACTCCGTGCCATCCGGAAACGATAATCTAAATGTGTTTCGCGCATGTGACTCACACGTCACCGCACTCTCGTACTCTCTTTCTCTCGATTTCTATTTGACGGATCACTTAATACCCATTCTCTTCTCCGTCCTTACTTTCGTAAACAATAACACTTACATATATATACGCAAACAGTAATCTTGTATATTATTCCAGCGAGGACCTAATCTGATACGCCTTCCGCTGAGACGACATGACACTCTCCTCCTGTCATTATCAACCCTCTCGCATACTCTCCCTGTATACGTATTATAGCATACTAGTTAATGCTGGCCGGGATAATAACGTCCCTATCCCGATTACCGAGGTTCTCTTCTTCACGTCTGTCCCATCGGTCTTAGTCCTGCCGCTAGCACACGGTATTACACTCAAAATCAATTGAGGGCGATCGAAGGTGTTTAATACGGAATTCCGCGTCTACAAGTACCACTACTGCTACTACGGCGGTGTGTTGTGCGCGCTCAATGGAAAGTTATCTCCCTATGCCTTTTTCCACATATCTCTCACTCGATCTCTGTCCGCTCAACTCGCCGATGCCGAGTCGCATGATTTTTCAACGTTACAATATTAACGACTTTCGTAAATAATTAATCGCACCAATGCCGAGTTCACACGAAATAAAAAGTTTTTTTTTTTATTCGGTAGTACACCTTTTTGATTCGTGTCGCTTACTCGAACGAACGAGCGTGTCTAGAGGAGAGGATATGAGAAGACAGCAACAAAGTTTCTCGCACAGAACTCTAAATATTTTATTCATTCATTTTCCTGTTATGCAAACACAGTGCTGGGAAATTTTCATTTTTATCATCAAAATAATTGTTTTAATTAATTCTTAATGGTATCAATGTTTTAATGCATTATTGGATTCGATCATTTGTCCGGACCGATTTGCTACCCAATTATTTTTTCTACTAAACGTATACTGAAAATGTATTTTAAATGACTCATATGAAATTTTATGTATGTTTACAGGGTGTTTACTAAACGAATCTTTGAGAAATCCACCCGATGTACCACCGAGAAATCCCGGCACGATGAGTAGGTTGAACGGTCGGCTGAAGGGTTCCGGACAGGGATCTAATGCCGGCACAATGGTACATCTTGCGGGAGATCACCAGCACCCGATGGACTTAGACTTTGAACCGTCCAATTGTGTTATAAGAACTGCTTCCGGATCGGTTTACATACAACCGGGTAAGGACCATCGTTAAAATATTTATAATAATAAGGATTTTTTCGTTTTATTTTTTATTTTTTTATTTCACTTCTACTTAACTAAAAATATTTAACGATATCGTCTGCGAGAAAAGAAAAGAAACGCCATTAGCAAACAATAACGATAAAAGATGGTTTGAAGAAAACTTGGAGGGCTCTCAATTATTATTCCGAACACTGTCGCGTCGTCGGAAAATACGCCGAACCGTTAATAATGCATCTGGAAAATTCTTCTTTTAAAATCATACAGCTGAGTTAACACTTTCTCAAGTGGACAGGGAGACGCGGTGATTTCATACTGATTATATAGTACCGAGAAAACATTGTGTAGTATTAAATTAGAGTTTTTCTTTTCATTTTTCTGTATCAAAAAGTGGGATATTTAACAATAATCACGAAACTACGATAACGTAATAATTAATTAGTCAAATATTATTATATTATGTTTGGTTTTGTTACAGATATGACGAAGAGTGTGTTGGACTACAAAAATACGTCATCATGCAGTAGCCCTTCTAAGACTGATATTCATAAATCATCGGAAAGGTTGGTTTATAACATTTAACTGTTTTTGTATGAAATAAAAACTTCATGATATAAAATTATTTGAATAGTTAAATATGGACCAGTATTATTTACTTTAATCTTTTTTTGATATCTTGATTTTGATAGATGTGTTTGATTCTTACCTACGCGTAAACACGTGTCAAAAATCAGGCTAGAGTACCCCTTATATGAGTTTTTTTCTTATTCCCGGAGAGGGTTCAAAAACATAAATCAGTCACAATGAAAGGAGTTATTATTATTATATTTGATATCGTTGGAATTACTTAATAGGGTTTGCTCTGGAAATCGTTTTTAAAAACGAATTTTAACTGGCAAATGTAAACGCCCGCACGTTACTATTAAATACAAAGCGGGCTCTGTTGACCACATGATTTTTTTAACCCTCGATCTGCGTACAAAAAGATTATTGTTGTAGAAAACACTCTCATCGTTTACACATGCGTCAGACTTATTGACGTTTTTACTGTTTACGTTTATAATCGATTTAGGTTCATAACTGATTGTCATTGCCACTATCAAAATTACCATACCTGTTTTGTACAGTAATAATTATAGGATTTATGTAAAATAAAATATTTTACTATAATTGCTATTACTTTTTTGTTACGATTGACCTAATCGCTACTGTCTGTAGCCTAGGGTAGTATTATTCATGTTTAATTGTGATTCATGTTTTTTTTTTTTTCAGGTGCTCTTTAAGTTATGGCGTTGGTATGCCGGTATTACCGGTCAGAAATAATCTGAGACGACCAACATCTTCTCATCACTTTTCATCCGCATCCCGGTTCCAGTTCCAAAAGGGTTTCGCTTCCCGATGTTCGTGGAAGTGTACGTCCATAGTATTAATAATCGTTTGCTTATTGATGGCCGTCGCGTTGACTTTCACTGCGAGTAAGTATACAAAACACACGATTACATCGATAAGCGTACACGGGTATCAACCATACGCGTTTTACGAATGGCAATAAACTGGGACGGCTGCAAATCGATATTATCTAATATGATAAACTTAACTTTGTTTTGTAGCATCGAACCTTTTGCGGTTGTCGTACCAAGGTCCTGCATCGTGCTCAGTACTGGTCGACGAGAATGGCGGCGTCAGTGACTCGCTGGCGACTCCGAAATCGCAGAACCACAGTAAATCGTCGGAAAACACAGGTAGGTGGGGCGAACCCGCTGACGCATCCCGTGCACGTCGTAGTAAACGTAGTTTGAAACAACCGAGCTTGCTCGACGGTGGCGGGGTTGATGACCGTGATGGACCTAACGCCGATGTTGGTGATGGTAGTGATGACGCCGACTTATTAATGCATGCTAAACCGGTAGTAAATGGTTTTCCCTCCGACCAAACGCTTATTAATGCACGCATGAACCGTAATAACAATAATAAGGCTTTGCCCCAACAAATGTACGACGCCATATTAGCGTTGAAGTCGCCGGGAACGAAACACCGGCGGCAACAGCCTCCGACGAAAAGGCACCGGAAGCGGCACACGTCCGACGTGATCGTTTACCGGAAGGACGATTTAGAAGGCGCCGCGGCCGCCGACGGGGGTAGAGGTCATGTCAACGAGACCGTGGACATCGTGCCGTTGGATTCGGAAAACCGTATCCGGGTCAATCTGACAATAGCGTCGGACGACTCGATCGGCAGCCCCGTGTACACGGTATCCTTGTCGCTGCCCAACGCCGTGCAGCAACCCGTAGAGCCCGAATTGGTCGGTCCTGTAGAACCCGCAAGGACGGTGGTAAATCGTCCGCAGCCGGCGGCACCTTTTCCGATGGGCGGCACGGAATGCGAGTGTTATTGCCCGTGTCTCGATGACGACGACCAGATCACGGCGGACTTTTCCACGTCGTCACCTTCAACACCACTGACGTCCACCGAAATCGGTTATAACGACTCGTTCACCACGGTTTGGAACACGTACTCGTCGTCGTCAGAACAACCAGAAACCACTGAGGTTTTGACGTGCCCTCCTCCCGTTTTGCTGTTTTGTGAACCAGGCAAGTTACTGTACCCGTTTTGTATTTCAGGACGCGGCAACAGCGAAGAAGACAACTGCCAACGACCAATATTTGCTTCCCAAATAATCGTTTCGTAGTTTGAATCTTATGTATTTGCCTTTTTTTTTTAATAGTAATTTGAACTAATTATTAACGAATGCGTGGTGATTGAAATGGTTTTATTTTTCTTAATTATTATAAATTAAATATATGATCTTGGTTTTGGTTGTGGTATTTAGACTTGGTTTTTTCCTTTTCAGTAGTTTAGATGATTTTTACTATGTTGTATTATTAATATTTTCTCGTTTAATTATGCTATATGCATCGTTATCTAACAGCACTACAGTATATAATAAAAATGATTCTTATGACTATTATGATATATTATGTATTCTATGTAGTCTATGGTAATAATATTGCACTGATGTTTCTTCTAAGTTTGAGTTTTATTAGTTTTATTTTATTTTCTTTCTGAAACTTTTATTAAATTTTTCTTGAAATCTCAATATTTCGTATATAATTTTTTTATTCCGAGTAAATATCAGATTATTCAGCAATACGTATAAGTATATTGCCTATGCAAATCGATGAAATATTAATTTATAAGACGTTTCACTAGAAAACAATTTAATTGAATAACAACTCATTTAAAACTCGCGCGAGCTGAATATTTGACTATAATGTAATTTTGAAATGTTTCCGCAACACGGCAAACACAATTAAAATAAAACGCACACAGTTTGATACATTCTATTGATGTCGCAATGCACTGGGCCAAATTGTCTATAATTAACTAAATTGGTCAATTATCAGAGTCGAGTTCACGTATATAAGTACGATATTCAATTAAATTTTCCGGTTGATGATAGAAATTAATTCATTTACCCAAACAGAAATACAATTAGCTTCTTCGATATGTTTTCACTGCCACTGCGAACTCTATATAATATTTTATTTTATTTTCATTCATATTTATTTCTTTTCGTTCATATTACCATTTTTGCCCCCCGACGATGCAGGGTCAAAATTGTTCCCGGTGAGGACGGCACCACCCGATGGTACGACATTTGCCCAGATAACACTCGGTGACAAAGTGGATGGAGAAATACCGGCATTCGGCTACTGGAATGTCCAGTTCTATCATTCACGGGCCGCCTACGTCCGGTTCGATTACGACTTCCCGAGAGGTGCCAGCATTGCCGTGTACGGTCGCAGGAACGCATTGCCCACGCACACCCAGTACGAAATATTGGAGTTGCTCAACGGCTTCAAATCACGACAAACTCGATCCGCACACGTGAGTTTCCGACTTCTCGCATAATAATAATACAATACCGTTGGTGTGTAATTGGTTTTAGATGGGTCAATCAGTTTTTTTTTTTTTTTTTTGGAATTGGAACTGTTCCAATGTTCTATCAGTATTGTATAGATTGTAAAATGTCGCGATAAGTTATTTATCCGTTCGTTTAAAATATTGTCTACGCGAGACAAATATACATATAATGCGTATACAACTCTGAAACGTGGAGATACTAAGACACGATTATCGTTATTTTTTTCGTTAAATAACTTTCGTCGTTCTCGTCTGATGTTTAATTAGAATTAATAACGTGGATACATTCGTTTTAGTCACACGCATTGTGTCATTGGTGCGTAAATTTAACCGTATTGTTCGTCGAATATATTCGTCTATTTCTGTTTATTTATCCACACGAACAAAATATTCGAGCACTTCACGTAAAGGGATATTTCATGTAAAAATTAAATTCTCCGTACCGATTACAGCGCATTTTGTTTAGTAATGATGGTTCACCGAACACGGCTATCATATTATTACTCGTACATTGAATGGACCGAAATCGCTATCGTGGACGGTGCGCATATAAATCAATGTCGTACTTACGAAATATTTGTAATCAAACGAATCGCTTCAATAATCTATATAACACTCATTCACATTGGTATAACCATAAAAATAATACAAGTTATCTCCGTGTTTCAGCCGATCATTAAAAAAGAAGTTACACACTATTTGGAACCAGGTCATTGGTTCGTATCGATGTACAACGATGATGGGGATCTAACAATGGTTACATTTTCTGCTTCTGTATCGCAAGACATGACAGTGAGCTGTCCTAATGGATGTAGTGGCAAAGGAGAATGCATGTTAGGTCACTGTCAGTGTAACCCTGGGTTTAGCGGTGACGATTGCAGCGATAGTAAGTATTGACTTAATCGTAGTTAGTTATTCAATTTATTTTTATGTATTTCATGTTTATTTTTTTAGAAGCCTTATACCTTAAAATTGGATTTTTTTTTTTTTGATCCTTTGTGATTTTTTTGTTTTGTTATTATATTAAGTGTTTTTTGTTTTTTTTTTTAACATTTATGTTTGATATTTTATATTGATTTGTCGTTTTTTCACACATTGCATATAATAACTTAAAATCATAATGGTCCATGTCGAGAATGATTGCCGATTCTCACACGATAATACTAATATATAATATTTTGGTGGCATATAATTTTGGGTGTGATTTTATAACTGCATGCAAAAATGTCAAAACACGAGATAATTCGCTTTAAAACATCTGCCCTTGCAGGTCCGATAACTTTTAACTGGTATTAATTTATTTTTTTAATTTCTACTCATAGGCGTATGCCCCGTGTTGTGCAGTCAAAGAGGCGAGTACATTAACGGCGAGTGCCAGTGCAATCCCGGATGGAAGGGCAAAGAGTGCAACCTGAGACACGATGAATGCGAGGTGCCCGATTGCAACGGCCACGGTTATTGTACGAACGGAAAATGCATTTGCGCGCTAGGTTTTAAGGGGAAATTCTGTTCAGAAGGTAAAATACATAATAATATTATAAACGGTGGGAGTTGAGCTCTGCGGAAAATAATAACATCATGTATATTTTTTTCAGTGGACTGTCCGAACCCAAATTGTAGTGGCCACGGAGTTTGCGTTGAGGGTACTTGCATATGCAAAAAGGGGTGGAAAGGCACGAACTGCGACGAAATGGATAAGGACGCCCTGCAGTGTCTTCCCGATTGTTCGGGTCATGGGACGTTCGATCTCGAAATGCAGACGTGTCAGTGTGAACCTATATGGTCTGGCGAAGATTGTTCCAAAGGTATCTATTTCTCATCTCACCCCTATAATTCCTATATTCCTGCCACGTGCATCGTGAGCGTGGGATAGTGACGTAGAACTACGGATGCAAAAATTGTTACTAACCATCGGAAACTTTTCGGTCCCCTTGGAATAAAATGTTGATGTAATACCAGTGTTTCTCCGCATGTGGGGAGGGATTGAATACATTTCTGGGGAGGGATAACATTCAAACGGAAATTTTTTTTTCGTCCACATAAACGGAGTGGAAAAAAACGATTTATTAAAGCGATCAGTTTCTTCCTAGCACTCCTATAAAAGTTGAACATTGTGCTATTAAACATTTTACTGTATAATAACTTTAACGCGATAATTTATGTTTTACTGGTGAATACGAAAACAGTGTTTTTTAATGCGAAAATAACATCGAGTTACACGTCGGTTGGGCATAGAATCGTAGGAAATCGGTTGGTGCCAGAGGGTGTTTAAATCAAACGCGTAACTAACCGTCGTGTTTCGTTTCGCAGAGCTCTGCGATTTGGACTGCGGCGCGCACGGCCATTGCGTAGGCGACACTTGCGTCTGCCACGCCGGCTGGTCGGGTCAGAACTGCAACACGAAGCTGTGCGACGATCGGTGCAACGAGCACGGCCAGTGCAAGAACGGCACGTGCCTGTGCGTGACCGGCTGGAACGGCAAACACTGCACGCTGGAGGGCTGTCCAAACAGCTGTTCGAGTCACGGGCAGTGCCGGGTGAACGGCGACAACGTGTGGCAGTGCAAATGCTCCGATGGATGGGACGGTTTGGACTGCAACACCCAGCTGGAACGCGACTGCAACGACAACGTTGACAACGATAAAGGTGAGCACCGATGACGAACGGATTTTTCACGGGGTGGTGGAAGGGGGAGATCGACAGACCTAACGGATAGACCGATTGTTTGATGACGATGGATCAGCAGCGATAAACATCGTGCATTCGGATCGCGGAAAAACGGTTTTCGAAAACGAAACGCCGAGAGCAACGATAACATATATTAATATAATAACCGCAATGAATTTTCTTTATGTGATGAAAAACGCGCATAACCTTTGTGTGTGTGTGTGTGTGTGTGTGTATTTACTTAGATGGTCTGATGGACTGCGAGGACCCGGAATGCTGTCTGAACCATATGTGTCGCAGCAGTCAGCACTGCGTGTCGTCACCGAAGCCCATCGACATATTGTTGCGCAAACAGCCGCCGGCGATCACCGCGTCGTTTTTCGAACGCACCAAGTTCCTGATCGAAGAGGGCAGTCTACAGAACTACGTTAGGCCCGACACGTTCAACGAAAGGTAATATTTTTGAATTCTCGTTTTGTTTTTTTTTTTTTTTAATCATTTTTTTTTTCTCGTTCTATCGTCTCGTACGTATTTCGCGTCTCGAGGTACACGAAAACGATGTGAAATATATAAATATATTTACATAAGACCACTACTAATGCTACTACTAATATAGCTGTAGCGTTCGACCGTTTTGATTCCGCTGTTCTCTGGCGAAATGTGTTTTCGATCATATCTCGTCCGGAGGACGTCGGAATGCCAGGGAAAATGATTAACACACACACACATTACGATGTATATTTTATAAGTTGAAATTCTTAAGCGACTGTGTTCATTGTGTATGGTGTTGTTACCTTCAATGTTTTCTGTCTTGAATCTTTCTATTGAAACTGCGTTGTGCCCATGTGAAAATATCCTTTCCTAATCGTTCCAATCTCTATATCGATTAAATGTTATTAGCATCACTTCTCAACACACACACACACATACACACACACACACATACGTACATACGTTTTAATTTCATATATATGTACATAAATATTGTAACCAGCAACACATAAAAATCAATCTCAAGCACTTAACGTAAACGTATAATAATATTATGCTTACGCATTTTTTTACGTAATTTTTTTCCACTTGTGTTTATTTTTTCATTTCTTGTGATTACGTACAATATTAAAATGTTGAGAAGTAATGTTTGCATTTAACATAAAAATTTAACGACTACCAAGCAGCTTAATGTGTACCTTTGCTTAATGTGTACTTATATACTAATATTACATACATATATATGTATATATGTACATATACATATATATGTACATATGGATTCATATATTTTCATTAACGTTTGCAAAAAAAAAAAAAAAAAAAAATAAAACCATTTGAATAAAAATATATTTTATACATTATATATATATATATATATGTATTTATTTTTATTTTTAAATAAAGCCTAACGCTTTCTTTCGAATATTATCTTGTTTCCAGCATTTTCTGGAGTCACTTCAACACGAGGTAAGAAATGGCCATAGTTTGCCCAGAATGGATTTTGTTTTTGTATTATTTTTGAAGGGAAATAATTCCCACTATTTATTTACGGGTGTTTTACATTCATATATACATCTTCTCTTATATATTTCGCTTAGCATAAATTAGCGTTTTAAACACAAAAAAAAAATAAAAATTATAATATAAAACTTCTAATTTATATTAATTATACGAATAATACTTTTTCAAGTACTTTTCCAACAAATAAAAACCTGCGTAAACATAAATAAAAAATTTTAAAAAAAAATAGGACTTCAATTATATGATGTGTTTGATTGAATATACATCACCATTGGACTAGGCATAAAATAAGCTTTTGCATGCATGACCTTACGCTTTTATCCTCAAACCCCCTTTGTATTGTGTACTCGTCAAAGCTTTATTCTTCATTTGTAGCCGTATATGTTTGTGTTGTTTTAATAAATTGTGACATTTTGTGTTTCACTCCGTTAAATGGAAACTATTAGAGACGTAACACAAATTATATCACTTGATATTTAGTCGTAAGATATAATATAATCATTCAAAGGAAATAAAGTTAAATAATATAATTTTGTGTTAATTAAATTTTAAACTGTATAGAATTGACTCTTGAGAAGTTAAGTAAAAATTAATAATTATATTGTATTTCAGTTTTAAATAAAAAATATCGTAACGTAATAATATCCTTAAACAGTTTCCTTTCACATAGTCGGATATTATTATTATTGTTTAAATACTTTTACGCAAAGCACGTTAACAACAGTAAATTAGATTATTTTTTGATTTCTATTATATTAAATTTCAATAGAATATTTGAGTGTTAAACAAAATATATATTTTCTTTAGCCGATCGGCAGTTATTCGTGGTCGAGTTGTTACGTCCACTGGAATGGGATTAATGGGTGTTCGGGTTAGCACGAACATCGCACCAGAGGGATTCACGTTAACCCGTGAAGATGGCTGGTTTGATTTATTGGTAAACGGAGGAGGCGCTGTGACTTTACAGTTCGGCCGTAGTCCCTTTAAGGCACAGACGCAAATCGTGAACGTACCTTGGAATGAGGTTTGTTTGCATAATATTACAAATACAATAATGATTTCTCTAACTTTGCGTTCACATTATGGATCGGTAGATTGTCATTATCGAGACAATAGTGATGTCGTTAACTGAAGACAAAGGAGTTCAGCTCAGCGGCCAGGCTTGCAAGGCACACGATTATGACCTAATGAAACCTGTGGTATTAGCGTCTTGGAAACACGGCTTCCAAGGGTCGTGGTCTGATAAAAGTGCTGTTTTGGCCGAGTCACAGGTTAATAATATTACGATGATATAATTTTTTTTATAAAAACGCCGTGTATGCAATTTTCTTATGCCGTACATTATACAATGTTATTATTATACATGTGCTCACAAACGTTTGTATTCGATTGGTTAAATATATTCTTTCGATTAGGTTGTACAAGAAAGTTTTCAAATTCCGGGCACAGGATTAAATTTGGTTTACCACAGCTCCAGATCAGCTGGATATTTGTCTACTATACAACTTCAGCTCACGCCCGACACGATTCCATCCACTTTGAAGTTGATTCACTTGAGAATCACTATAGAAGGAATACTGTTCGAAAAGACGTTCGAAGCCGATCCGGTCATTAAGTACACGTACGCTTGGAATCGGCTCAATGTGTACCGGCAGAACGTTTATGGCGTAACGACGGCATTGGTCAAAGTTGGATATGAGTACACAGATTGCCGAAGTATTGTTTGGGACGTTCAAACGACCAAACTAAGCGGAAACGATATGAGTATATCCGAAGTGGGCTCGTGGAATCTGGATATTCACCACCGTTACAACTTCCACGAAGGTATACTACAGAAAGGCGACGGTTCGAACATTTATTTGAAACAAAAGCCTCGGATAATATTGACTACCATGGGTGATGGACATCAAAGACCATTAGATTGCGTAGACTGCGACGGCGATAATGGATTAAAACAGAGACTATTGGCTCCGGTAGCGTTAGCTTCCGCTCCGGACGGTTCCATATACGTCGGAGATTTTAATCTGATCCGACGTATAATGACCGACGGCACTGTTAAAACTGTGGTCCGATTGAAGTAAGCATTTAGCATTCCGTCTATTTTATAAATATAGTAAAAATAATAATAAAAATAACATTAATAATAATTATATTTACAGTGTTACGAGGGTGTCGTATCGCTATCACATCGCCGTCAGCCCGCTGGATGGTTCTTTATACATTTCTGATCCGGAAAGTCATCAAATTTTAAAAGTAAAAAACCCGAACAATTTTTCCGATCCTGATCACAACTGGGAACCCGCCGTTGGATCCGGCGAACGTTGCTTGCCCGGTGACGAAGCACACTGCGGCGATGGAGCGTTGGCTAGAGACGCGAAACTCGCTTACCCCAAAGGTATGCTACGTTATATTGTATAGTTATGCGCATTTAAATCTTTTTACCGACCATCGAACAATCATTTATTGCGTGGGCGTTTTTATTGTCGTAGGTGTCGCTATATCTTCGGACAACATTCTTTACTTTGCCGATGGGACGAACATTCGAATGGTGGACAAAGACGGTTTGGTGTCCACGCTCATCGGTAGCCATACACACAAATCGCACTGGAAACCCATACCCTGCGACGGGACGCTGAACACCGGCGAAGTGCATCTGAGATGGCCCACCGATCTGAGCATCAATCCCTTGGACAACACGTTGCACATCATCGACGACCACATGGTGTTGAAGTTGACCACGGACAACCGGTTGAAAGTCATCGCTGGCCGCCCGATGCACTGCCCTCCAGCTGCGCGTACCGGTCTGAACACGGACCAAGAATTAGCCGTGCAGACCGCGTTGGTCATGCCTCAGAGCATTGCGTTTGCTCCGAACGGTAACATGTACGTTGCGGAATCGGATTCGCAGAGAACGAATAGGATCAGAGTGATAAGTAAGTATTCAACATTTAGTATTTGTCGATAGCACTTCCGTTAACAAAAAAGTCATATTATTTTATGATCATGTTTATACACGACCGGGTAAATTTCATAGTCGTAATATTATCTACCACTGTGCAATATTATATGTTTATATATCGGAAACGGTTATTGCTTGTGATAGGAGGAGATGCTATAAATAAAATAAATAAAAATGAATAGGGTTTACTTATTTTTAAATTCTGATCGTGTATCCTAATGGGTCTGGGAATAGTTATCCTTTAATCTATATAGAATTAACATGAGATACATTTGGGATATCTAATCACAAAAAGCTATTATTATTTATCAACGTTCTCACTATACTCTGGTTTATTTCATATTTTCCTCCGATGGACATATTCATAACATAAAATTAATCATCATTGACAAAATATCATTACAGTTTCCTTATAATATAGCGTTTAATATAAAAATCATAGCTATTGAAGTTAAATGAAAAGTTTTTGTACTAAATATGTTTTTAACAATCATTGTTCCAAATTTTTCATGCAAAAATCAATTTTTTTTTTTTATTTATTAAATATTATATAATTTACTAAAACGATAAAATACGAAGCCTCAAAATATCCTAGTAATATATTTATATGAATATTTTAGGTACCGAAGGCAAAATTTCTCGTTTCGCCGGTACTGAGTCGAAATGTAATTGTTTGGATCGCGGCTGTGATTGCTACGAAGAAGATCATTATTTGGCAGCAACCGCTAAGTTTAATACAATTTCGTCGATCACTGTATCCCCCGATGGAGTGGTTCACGTGGCTGATCAAGCAAATTATAGGTATGATTTAAAAAAAATGTTATTCTTATTTTTCAAACCCATACATAATGACTTGTGTATCATTTTAGAATAAGATCGATCATGTCGAGATCCCCAGAAGCAACAGCCACCCGCGAATACGAAGTATACTCACCGACCACCCAAGAGTTGTACGTTTTCAACCGTTTCGGTCAACATATCACAACCCGTAATATTCTTACCGGAGAGACTAGCTACCAGTTTACGTACAACCAATTCACCAGCAGTGGAAAACTCAGTTCTGTTACCGATGCAGCTGGTAACAAAGTGTTCCTGTTAAGGGATCACGCACAACAAGTCAACTCGATCGAGAACACCAAAGGCCAAAAATGCCGATTGCGCATGTCTCGCATGAAACTTTTGAGCGAGGTCAACACTCCTGACAACTACAATATAACGTTTGACTACTATGGCCCCTCCGGTTTACTACGGTCGAAGTTGGACTCTGCAGGAAGAGGATATGTTTACACTTATGATGACTTTGGACGACTAACCGGTGCTGTAACACCCACTGGAAAACTTATTCGGTTGGCATTTGATCTGAGTGTAAAAGGAGCCACTGTAATGGTGTATAATGACGACAGTCAACCAACTACCATGCTGATCAAAGGCACATCTGTGGAAACTAAATTAGGTAAACTAAAGTTTTTAAATATTTTATTTTCTTGCAGTTCATAATATTAATAAAATCATTGTTTTATTGTCGTTCGTAGGCGGTTCGGAGCAGCATACTTCAATAACTAGTGAAGGTGATATTGTGTCGGAAACATCATGGGGAAACCGGGTGACTATCGAATCAGTTCCCTACGCAGTGTTGATGGAAGCAAATTCTGTATTGGTGGAAAGTTATCCAGTACCGGGAAAACTGAAAACCGAAATCGGATCCGAATTGGCTAACAGGTTTGAATGGAGGTATTACCTAAGAGGCCAATCTGGTGGAAAATTAAAGCCCGGCGAAGGTAATAATATATATTTTTGTAATACAGTATAAATTTGACAAAACATAAATAATATTAAGAACGAATACTTAATAAAAATGAAAATATTTAACTTACAGCTAAATCTGTAGCTCAAGTGGGAAAGAAGTTACGTATCAACGGTGAAAACATTGTGTCTCTCGAATTCGACAGAGACAGCGGAACCGTAGCAGCGTTCATAGATGAACACATTGAGTTGTTGAATATCACCTATGACATTGCCGGAAGACCTTTTAGATGGGGACCTAGGTAAGATAAACGGCAAAACGTTGTATTCGTATTAAACTGTGTACTTTATTAAAATGTGCTTATTTGCTTTTGAACAGGAACAAAATTTATTCGGAGGTAGAATTGACGTACGACCGTTTTAGCAGACTTAGCGTGTGGCGCTGGGGCGATCTCAAAGAAATGTATGGCTATGACAGAGCCGGACGGTTAGCTGAAATTCGCTATGCTGATGGTAAATCTACGTTATACGTATTCAAAGATATGTTCAGCAGTTTGGTAAGTATTAGCATATGCAAACTTTTTGTGCGCAGGTGTTTAATAAATTCGTTTCCCTTGTACAGCCTTTGAAAGTGACAACTCCGAGAGGAAGTGATTACCTTTTACAATACGACGAATCCGGAGCTCTCCAATCACTGACGACTCCTAGAGGACACATACATGCATTTTCGATACAGACCTCGTTGGGATTCTACAAGTACCAATATCACTCACCGGTCAGCCCACATCCGTACGAATTGAGATATGACGATAACGCTAATATTTTAGCCAAAATCTATCCACATCAATCCGGTCGTGTTTCCTATTTGTACGATCAACACGGAAATATCGAAATAATATTAGCTGGTACGTATTTAGAATTTTATGTCTGAATTATGCTTATTTTGCTTATGGTTTTTTATCATTTCCGTAGGACTTATATCCATACACTATACCTACCAAACCAACACCAATCTGGTGAAGAATATCAATGTAGTAGAACCTGGCTTCGAGTTGAAACATGAAATTCGTTATCATTTGGGTATGATCAAAGACGAACGTTATTTGTTCAACGCTAAATGTGGATTGCATAACACTCATTTGAAGTGAGTGTTTTGAAGCATAATTATATACTATATTATATAATTTTATATTAAATATAATACTATTTTTAATTATATAGGTATCAATTGGACGGTAATGCACGCGTTACTAGCATTGATGTCACTATTGGTAGTAAAGAGCTTTCGCAATTGAAACTGAAGTACAATCAAAACCTAGGGACGCTAGAAAGCATAAGTGATTTGAGGATCTACAAAAATACTTTCAACAAAACCGTCATTCACGATACTGCTAAACAATTTTTCTCAATATCCGAGTACGATAATCACGGTCGGTTGAAATCAGTAATGACCAACATCAAGTCCATGGACGTGTATAGGTATGTTGTATTGAATAAACATTTTAAGGAAAATGTCATACTTATTCATTAATTCGTTTGTCTGTGTTCTGTAGAATGGAATTAGAATACGATGTCAGAAACAGAATTTCATCTCAGAAGATCATTTTGGGCAGGACAAAAATTCAGAACACAATGACTTATAGCGCTGATGGTCATTTGTTTGAGGTGACCGGTAGTAGCGACTGGAAATATATCTACGATGAAAATGGCAACATTATCGGGATCATGGATTATGGACAAAAGTTAACTTTAGGTTACGACGTCGGTGATAGAGTGGTTCAGGTGATATATATAATATATTTACATATTAATGTATCAGTAACACATTTAAATATTCTATTTTATTTTATTTTTTTGAACCATTTCAGTGGTTGTAGATTGTAATCTAATTGATAAAAATTTTAATATCTAATTAATCAAAATGTTAATTATGATTTTATTTCAATATATTAACAGTTAAAATTGTTTCATTACTTGTATTGTTTAACTTTGCAATGAAATAAATATAAATTAAATGCAATAAATAAATAGTTTTTTAATACTCTGTACACACAGCGTACGGGAATAATTTAACTAAATAACGCTTATTTTGTAGGTGGCTGACGTTCAACTTTATAGTTACGACACTCGTGGTTTCGTATCCAAGAGAGGAGAAACTCACCTAAACTACAACGATATGGGTTTACTCAGTGATGCAACTGAAAGTGACCGTTTTAGTGTTTCGTATTACTACGACCATAAAAATCGACTATTGGGTATCAAGAATACTGGTGAAAACGTAACACAATTCCTGTATACTGATCCTCAACGGCCTAATTTGGTTATGGCCATACATTATCCGAGTACAGGCAGAACTTACCATTATCTGTACGATGATCGCAACACGTTAATTGCAATCGATTCACCCGAACAAAGGTACATTTCGAGATTCATTCAAAAATAAAAATATTATGTGATATACGATGGTTGTAAATATTAATTTTTTTCTTGTTCGTTATAGATACTTCGTTGTTACCGACCAAAACGGATCGCCGTTAGCCGTGTTCGACGTCTCTGGAAACATCGTTAAGGAGATCACGAGAACACCATTCGGTGGGCTCAGAAAGGACACACATCCGGACTTATATATTCCGATCGACTTCCACGGAGGCATTTTGGACCCGCATACTAGGCTGATATATCTCGATAAGAAGTGGTACGACCCATCGGTTGGTCAATGGATCACGCCTGACTGGGAACGGCTGTCGTCGAGACTCAATTATCCCACGGACATATTTATCTATAGATTCCAAAATAACGATCCGATCAGTTCTAGCAACTCTCAAAACATTAACTACATGACAGGTATGGCTCAATATATTGGTAATTTGCAGTGGCCAGCAATATTTGTAGTTCACGTTATACTATTATAATAATAGAATATTATCGTGATAAACAATGTTCCAGTTATTTTTAATGTATTTCGTGTTTTTAGATTTGAGTAGTTGGTTGAAACTTTATGGTTACGATATCAGTAACATGATTGGATCGTCGTACACTAGAAATCAATTACACCAACCTAGTGCAAAGGTATCTTCTCCTCAACTCACTCCTCAATTCAATGTGGTATCCGGACTACAGTGCATCGTCGAGAAGGTATTTGAAAAAAACTACAAACACGGAATGAATCGAAATTTTTTGAATACATTTTTTTTTGTTACGTATTCCCTTTAGGAAATGTCACTGTTCGGTGAATTTGGATTCATTCCTGAACCTCTGCTGAAGATGGAAACCCAGACGAGAAACCTGTTGCCAAGAGTGGCATTCCAGCGATCCATATTCGGTGAGGGTGTGCTGGTGTCCCGTAGCAACGAAGGCCTGGCGCTGATATCCGTGGTGGACGGTGACAACAGTGTCGTACAAGACGTCGTTATGTCTGTTTTTAACGGCTCGTACTTCTTAGACTTGCATTTTGAGCAGCACGATAAAGACTTGTTCTATTTCGTCAAGGTAATATTAGAATCGTAATTTAAGTCATGTTTTAAAGGTCTGTCCAGAACTGTAGTAGACAGTCACGTAGCATAATAGTGTGGCTACTGATAGTATTCCGTAGGGACAGGGAGTGATTATTTGTAAAGCTATAAACCTTCTTATAACCAGTCTTGGCGAGGAACAATCGAACATGGTGGTTGTCCAAACAGACAACTTGTCAGACGGTTGTCCGAAGACCCATGTTGATCGTGTTTAATGGCCACCAGTGCTAGATTTGACTCTCGAGAACCAGAGTACAACTACTAATAAGAAGTTACTAAAAATAAGTCTTATCTATTCCTACGATACATGTTAAAATAATATTAATATTAACGAATTAAAAATAAAATATCAATGTCCAATAAATAATTTTATAGTTTAGTTAGAAATTCGTAGATCATTATTTAATATTTGATGGTAAAATATTTTTTTTTTAAATAAATAAGTTACAAATACGATCTTTGAAGAAAATCTGGGACTTGATCCTGAAACACCTAAATCCCCTGAATTCTCGGTCCCCGCTAAGTTTGGAACCGATGCATTTGACTGTAAATTTTTATTATTATTATTATTATTATTATCGGTTTTAGGACAATGCGTTAAAACAGAATGATGACATGGAGGAGCTGAAACGGTTGGGAGGCATGTTCAACGTGACCACTCACGAGACGACGGACGGTAAAGAGCTGCGACTTTTGAGCCCAGAGGCGCTGATATCGATCAGGTACGGCACGGACCCGCAACAGGAACGGCACCGTCTACTGAAGCACGCGCACAAGAGGGCGGTTGAGCGGGCGTGGGAGTCAGAACGGTCGCTGGTGTCGGCAGGGTCGAAGGGCGCCAGGGCCGAGTGGAACGCGGAGGAACGCGAGGAGCTAGTGAACCGTGGCCGCGTGGACGGTTACGAGGGCCAGGACGTGCATGACGTCAGTGGCCGCCGGCCGCAGTTGGCCGACGATCCCGGCAACATACGGTTCCACAAGACGCCCAACAGGAAGAAACGCAACAGGCGGACGCATTACAAACGGACCGCAGCCAAAGACGAATGAACTGGCGGTATTTAATACCATCATCTTACCACGGGGCCGTCAAAACAACAATAATATTATTATAATAGTGCCAACGTATACTTATTATTACTACGATTTTTATTATTATTATTATGATCATTATTTATTTCTACATCAAACGTGCGGTTATTTATTATTATTACTATCATCTTTATCATTGTTTTATATATATTATACTTCCACGTGTTATTATTATTATTATTATTATTATTATTATTATTACCAATAACTACCTATTATTATTATTATTAATATTATTATTGATTTATTTTTCTTTATCTTTCTCGCTTAAATCGTTCGCCGATTTACGATCATATATTTTAATACTTGCCCCCGACGACCAGACCAACAAATTCGATCCTTACCCATACATCATGAATGCTGCATTTTTATACACGTCGAAATCCGTTTGTATATTCCGTTTGTCCCCTCGAACAAGCTTAATTATAATATCTGTTGTTGCGTATTTTATTTTTATGAAACGCTCAATTTCCGTCCATTCGAAACACGTCTGTTCATGATGTCCACCTCCCAGGCCGTGATTTTATTTTATTAATTTATTCGATTCGTTATATTTTTATTTATTTAATTTCTTTTTTTTTTTTTTTTTGTTTAATTCCACAATGAAAATAGTGTCTAGTCATTTTCTGAGCGAGTAAATAACACGAACATTTAATTTTTAACACTCGTTCTCCTTACATCTTAATTTATAAAGATACATTTTATTTTTTTTTTTAAGAACGAAAATATACTTATATTTTTGTATTGGTATACTCAGGGATCCGAAAATCGGTACCGTTTTTCATTATGAATATAAAAATTTACTACCGTTTTTTTTTCCTCCCCTCATTATATAATATATAATATTATGTAACTTGTATTGTTCAGGAATAGCCTGTTCTATTGAAACCTTGTTAAAACTTTTATTTTTAAACGAAACATTGCTAAATATGTACATAATATAATATCTCTGGGACAGATGAATTATTATATAATATTTCTATTCGAACAGGACAGATTTTTTTGTAAATAAGGTCAACTGAAATGTAAATATAGATGATTGTTATTATTATTTTATTATAATGATTTTTTTTTTTTTGTGCAATTGTTTAATCATTTTGTTTTTCTTATTATTTATACGTATTACATTAAAATTACATGATATTTATATACTTTATAATTATAATGTTATGTTACCATAATCAATAACATATGTCTACTGTAATTAATAGGCTATGTTAAATATTAATTGCTTGCATGACAATTAAAAAAAAAAAAGAAAAAGAAAAAAGTAGATTATACAGTTACTCGTTTATGGTGCGTTAGGCTTTATTGACATTTAGCGACCCAAGTGGTTATTGATTCCGATTCAATAGATATGATAGTTAACGATATATTAATAAACCGTTGAAATGTACAGCGACCGGACAATATTATATTATATAACTGCGGTGTCGTGTCGCTGTGTGTAAAATTTATTTTTAAATATTTATGTTATTTGCTTTACGTTTGAAAAATAAAAAAAGAGAGAAAGAGTTAATAACGAACACACTATTTATTATTATTATCATAATACAGATTTATAGGGCCTTATATTATTAATTATTAACTGAGAATCGTGTAACATACATGTAGTGATAGTCATGTGTTTTATACAGAACTGAAGTTGGAACGTGAAAGTGTTTTCATGTTATTTACTTAGCCTTAGCCTGTAATAGTTGACTTGTAAATATACTTTTTTTTTTTTTCATGCAGACTTATTATGTACATAAATTATATATATATATATTTATAAATACGTATACTTTAAGACGATAAATGAATTAGTTTGGAGTAATACACGATGATATTTATTATTGAAATAAAATTGAATTAGTTAAACCACGCATTTTTCATTCACTCGGCGAGACCAGGGCGTATGAAAAATCGAGTTGAGCGGTTCACGTTGACCGTTTTCGTTTCGTGTTTCGCCAGACTCAGAACGTGATCCAACAGTTGCTTTACCAATCGTTAGTTTTCGGAACCGGTGTACTCGATTTATGTGCGAAAATCAAAAGTTGTGGCGAGACGACGCGGAATTCTTATCGAAATCGAATTTTACATTAATTTAAAAAGGTGCACAACCGATTGCCGGATTTTAGTGAAAACGTACTATTTATCGTTCGAAAACCGATGTTCGCGTTACGATTCGGTGCCGAAACGTATCGCGTTTGCATTGTATAAATCCAGTCATAACGGACCGTTTACTCTTCGGTGTGAAACATCGAAGATTAAGCAGTCCGAAAAAACTTCGGTTGGCTAAATATTTCGTCATCATAAGTTATAAAATGTGATCGAAATATGCTGATAACATCGGTTTGTCCGAAACGTATGTTTTCCAAATCGATGCGAAACGTTCCGTTTACAATGTAAATGATATAGAAAGGAAGCAAAACGTACTGTTCATAATGACTTATCTGCAGTGTGCTGAATTTTGGATTTGCTATCTCATTTGATTAAATTAGTCATAAAGTTTTTTTTAAATATGTTCAAGGGTCCTTTTTTTTTTTTTTTTACTATAAAATCGGCCAACACTAATAAAAAAGAAAAAAAAAGAAAATCGTTTATATATCTTTGACACTACGTTTATTGTTTGTGATATGCTCTAAACAAATATATTGAAATTGAATTCATGAACTGTTTACTAATATTATATTATTAGACACTACTTGGTAGCTTTAATCAAATTATATTTTTCTATTGCGATCATGTCGAAACGAGTTCAATCGATGGTTGAAAAAGCAAAAATTAAGTTAACTTCATGCAGCTATATAGTGAACCAGTGTAATACACTACTTGACACGATAAAATGATTAACATAACGGCAGAACTTTTAATATTTTCTATTACCTACCCACCAATCGAATAGCAAAACTTTGAATTTAACTGTGAATATAACTGTGAATTTGAATTTTACGATCATTATTAGTTTACAAAAACTAATCATTATCATAATTGCGAATCGAAGATATTAGTAATGGGATGATAACCGGTCACTGGTGAACAGTAATACGACGCGCAGAAGCTGTGCACCACGAGTGTCCAGAAATAAACCTTGCACGCAATGGCTACAGGTATCAGCTGCGATTTCATTGTTAATAGTTATTTAAATTTTGTTCACCTTTACGATTTCATCGTAGATTAACAGTAAATTAAAAACACGTACATAAATGTTAATGTTATTAATAAAATATTAACTTTATTTATGTATTCAAGTCTAGATGAGTTCCTCTTCGATATTGCATTTAATTTGTTATTTTTATTTTAATATTTAAGTACTAAAGACTTAATACGAGTATTATTAAAATTAACTTGTTTTATACATTCTGGTCTGAAAGTATTCATCTTTGATATTTTATTTAACTTGTTTAAAAAACAAAAGTTATTATAAAAGTGTTTGTTATATTGAAATATATTATAATATTTATTGTATACTTTAAATCCATATGAATAATAAATAAACCATGACCCATGTATTATGTATATTATTTTAATCCAATGAATTTAAATTGAATATCTGATAGTAAATAGTAATGTCATTCCACATCAATTGCATGTCAAAGGATTTAAATTTATGTACTTTAAAATAAATTCATAGCAATAATTAATATTAACGAAAAATTACAACAGAACGTTTTGTAAACATTATAGTTAAAACGTACCGATTGTATTCATCATTGCAAAATGTACTATTGGTTGAAAACAGTACGTTTTAATCCAACCGAATAATATAAGAACAGCTGTACTTGGTATAAAAAATATACTCTGAAAAACCTTTACCAACATAATTGAACTAAATAAACAGATTTTTATATATTTTTACCCGTTTACTTGAAATGTGAAACTCAATTATTTCATATACAGTATAAAATTGGGCGTAACCGAGTTGGGTTCCAAATAATATTTATGATAAAAATTAACAACTAATTGGATCCAATTATAAAAACAACATCTATTTTGGTCCGGCCACTACGACAGTAAAACCTGTAACTTATAATTGACACATTTGATAATGTTAAAAAATTAATAGATTTGAGTTTATCAAAGTTCCATCGTTTAAATGTGTACCAATTGTAAATTTTTAATTTTTTTAATGATTTTATTTATTTACCATATATCGGTATTCTAATTTTTATTTAGTAATTATATACTAGAAAACTTAACTTAACTATAAATTAAAAACTCAAAAAAGAAAAAAATTCATACCTGTGTTATAATTTATAGATAACTGACAGTACAAGTCTGTGAAAATGAGAAGGGAAATATTTTTTTTTACGGACCCAACTAGAATAGTACAATCATGGGGCTCAACTGATATACTACCTAAAAAACACCGGGACTCAAATAGACTAAATAAGAGTCTTCGGGCCCCAACTAGTGAGCGCCGATAAAATTACCTCTCCAGAAAAATATGCAAAAGACCAATAGTGTGTTTTTTTTTAAATTTAGACAATTTAGTTTTTCAAATGTATTTGCAAGATAACCCAGAATTCAATAGAACTTGTTATTACAATATTAAGATAAAATATAATATTAAGATTGATACAACCATCAACGATACAAAATAATTGTATATTGTATAAAACTATAAAATAATACACAATAAATAACTTTTTCATTTGGTGTAAACTTATTGGCGACCCCCTAATAAAATTTCGCGACCCCCAGGTTGTGCACCACTAATTTAGTACAATTATTGTTATAATCGCAATAAGGTAAGTATTTAGTATATTTTCAGGAGTTCTACAGACTACAAGACGAAGAAGTAGGTATGTTATATATAATATATTTGATAAACTAGGTATCCGAAAAAAAAATGGCCAGTAGGTTAAGGATGGTATAAACGTTTTGGGCCGGCCGTTTATTGGTGTAGAATACTGGGCCGTTTACCTTCCAGTCCGCCCCTGATTGTGAGTTTCCCAAATGTTGATTGACCATTGATACGTGAAACATAGCGATTCGAATTATATGCTACCAAACCAAAAAATATGAATCTATATAAAAAAAAAAATCAAGCGTTTTATGTTTGCAGTTAACTATTACACATAATTAAATACCGGATATAATTGCATTTAAAATACAGTGAAACCTCGATAACTCAAATCGGTAAAAAAAAAAAAAATTCGAGCTAGCAAAAATATTATTTTATTTAAAACACAAATAGTGCATTTTATAATTTATTTATTTATATATTTACTAATAAATGTATAATGTATGTAGGTATGTATATTGTATTAAAATTTCTAAAAAAGTATAAAGTAATAAATATGTATATGTATAAATTGTATGTTATAAAGAAAATATAATGATTAAAGTAGAACTATTTTTTAAAGAAATCTGATATTTTTAATTGTTTTTTTTTTTTTTTTACCTATCTGTAAAGTTTCCAATAACGTTTAGCGCGGAAAAAATCTCATCTCCAATTTCTGGTTGTTCTTGAATGTACTTACGGACAAACTGTAAACTATCTAATACCTGGGCAAGAGAAGTTTTAGGCAATTCCTCATCATCATCAATATCCGACTCCTCCCCACTTGACTCGTTAAGCATTTCTTGGAACTTCAAATCGTTCAGTATTTCATCATCAGTAAAATATTATATTGTTATAACATCAGAATCCACCTCAACAAAATGTTGGAATTCAACTGTACTAGTCTCAGAAAAAAGCTGCTGGTATCGACCCCACTCTATTGGATTTTCTTCTTCGACTGGTTCTTCCTCCATATGTTCTTGAGTTTCTATAAGACGAAAGTAATACAAAATTAAAAATCATAGAAACATATTAATTAAATAAACAACTTATTTATATCTTTTGTAAAGCCGGCTCTATGGAAACAATTTGCAATTGTGAACTGTGTGACTGCTCCCCAAGACTTATGCAGTAATTCAATTGATTCTAAGAGATTTATGTTATCTATCTCAAGTCCAGAATCTATTCTTCGCAAATTTCTTTGCATTTTACTTCTCCGATAATGATGCTTTATATTTTTTATGATTCCTTGGTCCATTGGCTGTAGTTTGGATGTCATGTTTGGTGGCAGAAATACTACCTGTATTGCTTTTAGTTCATGCAAAAGAGTTTTTGGATGTGCAGAGCAATTATCGACAAAGAGAAGCACTTTTATTTTATTGTTGAAAAATTTTTTATCCAAGTCGAATATTCAAGATTTATTGATGGTGGATAACATCCATGCTTTTTGATTGTACTCGTATGTGACTGGTAACGATGCCCCGTTCTTTTTCTTGAAACATCTTGGTTGTTTTGACTTTCCAATCACGAGTAATTTTAATTTTTCTGTTTCAGTCATATTAGCTCCTACCATTACTGTTACACGTTCTTTACTCTTATTCCCTCCATGTCAAGTATCTCCTTTGAATGTCAAATTTTTATTAGGTCTACACTTTACATTTATTCGGTAATGTTTACAGTCAATTTCAGACACCGCACCACTCTCACCTGATATGATTTTTTTTACAATTCCGTTCCTTGATTTAAATTTTTCCAGCCAATCCGGAATAGAAATGTGAGGCCTAAATTCTTTGCAAACTCTGCAGCTTTTTCTTGAATTCACGGTCCTGAAATGGGTAAATTATAATCTCTTACTCGCTTCATCCATTTCCGTCATAGCATGCTCAATTTCTGGGAAACTTGATGCTTTAAATCTCTTCCAGCGTGATAAACATGAGGCTTCTTTAACTGCTTTGAGAATTTTGTCTTTATCCTTCAATATAGTCGATAAAGTACTAACAGGAATACCGAATTCACTCGCGATATCTTTTTTGCGTTTCACTCTTTTTTTGAGTTCATCAATAATTTTTATTTTATCACTGATTGTTAAAGACTTTAAACAACGTTTTTCCATCTTGACTTCACAAAATCACAAGATAAACTCAACATTTGTTGTGACAGCATTATATTAAATATTCGACGTATACATTTCGTAGTTCAATTGACGTATAATTTTACCAATAATAAATGTACAATAAAGCTAGTCGCTGACATGCAATTTTCAATTGCGCAACAGTTTAATCGCATGGGTGACTTCCACAGTGATAAATGACAGTCAGCTCACATGCAACTAATCAGTTTGACCAACTAATAAGTTTGTCTTTTGTCACAAATCGTTCGATTACGCGATTACATCCTATGTATAATGTGACATGATAATACAGTTACATTTGTGAGTGCGGTATGATGAAACTGTTGCGCAACTATCGTACAACTGAAAATTGCATGTCAGCGACTAGCCTTAATATAGTAGATAAACGTAATTTATCGGAGATATAGACATTAAATCGTATTATATCGTTGAATTTATAACTGTACCTTTTAAGCATTAGATAAAGATTAGATTGATAATATTAATCAGTTTTCGATCACGATTACCTGTATTTATAATAATACACTTGGTTATTTGACCTTCGACTTATCAAAATATGTACGTATTATGTATATATATATTATTATATAAATTCGAGTTATAAGCCAAAATTCGACTAAAAATATTTCGACTTATAGAGAAATTTGAATTAGCGAAATTCGAATTATCAAGAAAACTTATCACACATATCATATATTGTAAGGCCGGAGCAAAGGCATTCCTTCGAATTATCGAAAATTCAACTTATAGAGGTTCGAATTATCAAGGTTATCTTAAAACTGCACTAAAAAGATGTTGAAATTGCAATGAAAATGTATCAAATTTGCAGTGTAAATATGTTAAAATTGCAATGAAATACATTAAAATTACATAGTAAAATCATATCAAATATATAATCATTAATTACTTACTTAAATAATATTATGGACATCAATATAATATTTACAAAATATATAATTTTTCTAAATTAAAATTTATAATTATATACATATTTAAATTGTATTCTTAAAAATCGTATCGTCTGTTATTTAAAATATGTTTATATAATGAAAAAGTACGCTCAACATCGACACTTGTTATAGATGCATATTTAAAATAATTTAAAAAATTGAGTGATGTATCTAAATAAACATTTTGATTTCCTGTCATAATCTCAGAGTAATTTTTAATAGTTTTATATCCTTCATTTTATTCTTAGGCATTTTACTTTATCTTTAACTATAACTATTATTATTTATTTATTTAACTTTTTTTATCTTTAACTATTTTTCCATTGGGACCGGGAATATTTATAGAAATATTTATACTAAATATTTTTATTTAGTTGGTATTTGTTTTGTATTTATTTATTTATTTATTTAGTATTTATATTAAATATGTTTAAACTATAAAGTAATTGACTATTTGATTCTTCTAAACTTGTGAGTTTTGTGGATAACTCAGATAAATATAATTTTAAAAATCCTAAACTACATTTAACTACTTGTAAAAGTTTACGTCGTAGTTGTATTTTTTATGTAAAATCATTTTGGAAATAATAATTTGTATATTTTATCACGTGAAATATACAAAAATTGCAATAATTACAAAAAATTGCATTATTAAATTAAATAGGATGACTGTAATTAATCTGTTTCGTATACATATTTGATCAGATTTGATTTACTGGGTATCAATAAAAAATTACAATATCAATTAAATCCGCTCTTTACACATAATATACATTATGTATACTTATTAATCTTGATCTCTTAGGGTAGGGTAACCATATTTATAAAAAAAAAAAACTGGACAAATATGTTCTCAAAAAAAAAGACCATATTTTTTTAACTTCAATATTATATGGAATAAAAATAATTTTTAATTAGTTTAATATTTTAATAAAACATTGATTTGCAATCTTTTTTTGTTGAGAGATAGAAAAAAATCACTTAAAATATTCTTTATTTTTATTGAGTTTATGTCAATTGTTTTTTTTTCATCACGTCTTTTGACATTATATTATTTCGATGAACTGATTGCATTTAATAGTTTTGGTTGTGTTCACAAAAAAATCATAAAAATCATTACAGAAATATTTTTTAAAATTATTTTTAAGAATTATTATTGCTTTGACAGTTGGTACGATAAAACGATTTTTTTCGTCCGTTCATAAAATATTTGTGATTGAAAATATTCTTTTTATTACTGCATTAGTTAATCTGCAAAGGTACAGTGAAAGTATATTTTCTGTTAGGCATTATAAAAAAAAACAATAAAAGTGATAACACTAACGACTCGCAACAATTTAAATAAAAATAACTGATACACAGTGGCTATAACATTAGTAACACAAGATCGTTGTAATGTACACACGTTACTGCACGACTATGTTCGATTTTTTGATTAATTTACCTAATATACATATTATATCGAATATCGTTGATTATAAATAGTACTATATATTGGTAAACTATTCGTATTTAATATCGATTTCGTTAGAAGTCTCGCACATGAGTTCGCAGTACATATATATGCACTATATGACATGTTTTATTTATTTTTTTCTTTTACTCTTGGTTTACAATTTTTATGGAAGTAACGGGATTAAAACGGGATCCTATTTTAAAAACGGGACAAAAAGCGTCCCATTCAAAATTTGTCGGACAACAGAACATAGTGATAAAAAAAGGGACAATCCTGTTTTAAACGGGACGTATGGTCACCCTATCTTATTGTAATTCTAAAAAATTCTTTCTGATCTTCCTGATACATATCTCATTCGATGAAAATGTAATCCATTAGTATTTTAGTTGATGAAATTGACCTATCACAATGATCACAATCACAGGTTTGTAATGAAAAGTAGTTAATTAGAGCTTTTTGTAAAACTTTGAATTGATCGTCGGTATAACGAAGAATAATGGTCATGTTAGCAATTGGTTTGTGTTATTTATACTATAATCATCTGAACATTTTTATCTTTTCAATTGCAGATGTAACTTCTTTTCATAGCTCAGTAACAACAACGATACGTTACAACGTGCATCTATTATTTTTAAATTTGTAATGTTTTTGAACTCGCCGAAAATATTTTTCAGCATAACTAACCGTTTTTTATTGGTATTTTTTGTTGAACCATATAGGGCTATTTTTGTATTGAAATTAAGCATATGGTTTTAACTATAATATTCAAAGTTTCTATATGACTGAAAGTCTATGTACGCTATAGCTATTATGACAACGGCTGTATCCAATGAACGTGTATTCAGAGCTAGATATTTGTTTAGCGCCATGCGTAATGAGTTCAAATTCGACTGGGTATTTTTCCTAGTTAGAATCAATGTTGGGAATTATCTACATAAATTTTTTGTCATCTTTTATATTATCTAGATAAATAATGCTAAGTTATCTAATTACTTATCTAAAATAAAATTTTTACTTGTCTAGAAAATTCTCTGTATTCTTGCAAATATTAGTGTTATTTTTATTCTTATACGGAGACGAATCCAACAAATCAGAGATCATAAAAATCGGTCCAGCCGCTCTTGAATTATAAATTCTGTAATTAACCCGACTTTCTTTTATATATATATATAAATTTTGTATTTATAATCATAGTTCATGTATTATTAATAAGTAATTATTTCTTGGTATGACATTTCGTTTGTATTTTCATGTCGGAAAAATATTATAGATATTTTTAAACTTAATTTCTTATTTTTCCACGGATGTTCCAAGTATAATAAGTATTTCATTTTAGTAAACACGTGTTATTCATACGCTGAATAGTCAATACTTCACTCTTGAAACCCGTAAAGTCGTAAGTACTTATAGAATAATGAAAATCATCAAATTAAGATTATATGAAAAACAATATTGCTAACTTAAAATAATTTTTTATGTATTCTGTTATCATCCTGATACGTACAGAGCAATTTTCATTTTTTTTTTTTTTTATGTAATATTTTAGTAAATAACTATCATTAAATATAATACATATAAGTATATAAGTACTGCTTAATGATACACTACATTACTACAATAAATATTAAACACCTAGATACCTATTGATAATAATGATTATAATTGAGTCTTCATAGATATTATTACAAATATGAAATATTGACCAAAAAATAAAAAATTTTGAAAATATATTTTTTTTATCTAAATAAAAATGAAATTATCTTTTATCTTTATCTAGATAAATTTGAATATATTATCTTTCATCTTTATCTTGATAAATTTTGCACTATTTATTCCTAACACTAGTTAGAATCCTTTCTATATCTGAATTTTGATCCATGCGATTTCGAAATTTTTTTTTTTATTGATAATTCCATCTTTAGATTTTAGTAGCTTTTGGATCTTGTGAATTACCCTTGCCATGCCAATTTTCAGTCGCTTTGAGTGAATCGGAAGATACCAAAGTTTCATCACTATATTCATCAGTATATATTTTTTTTATATTTAGATCACAGACCTAATAATATACAGTTATATAGGACTAACAACAGACATGGTCTGATGCACAAATATTGACAGTTAGGTAGTTTACAGGAGTTATTTGACATTGTGTTAAATCTTGGTGGATATCATCACGAACAATAATATCGCAAATAAAATACTCCCGTACCAAACAGTAGTTGTGTACTAAGATAAAAATTTCCTGTCATGTATAATATTTCTGTCAGTGATTTATATTTATATTTATCTTGTTTATCTTATTAGCAGTAAGCCGATATGAGTCGATACCATAGAATGCATTAATTGTGTAGTACATTACAGCATGATACCCAGTATACTAATTACAATCATTAAAATGTTTTCGAATGGCCTTACATTTTTAAAACGTTTAAACATTTTCAATTCAGAATTCTTTAATATAATTTATATATTTTATGTTGTAAAAATAAAAATAATTTAAAACAATTTATTAGATTTTAAAAAAATTTCAAAGATTTCACCCAAACAGTTCTACTATTCTATTTTAGTTTACATTTTATGTAATTGTTTTTAAGAAAAACTGTAGGTACGCAGCAATATGACTTAAAGTAGATTATAAGTATAAGTAGCTAAAATATTATTTTAGTTACTTACACATTTTATATTTTATTCAGACGACAAATAATAGTAGATAACTAATTTAAAATGTTATCTACTAAATATTAAGTTCTAAAATGTCTATCATATAAAATTTAAATAAATACAATT